AACAGAACCAGGGTCAGGAAAGGAGGCCATCTGCCTCGACCGGTTGGGTGGGAGTGGGGATAACAGGATAGCAGATGGAGGGCAGCAGTACAAACAGAGTAAACATTTTGGAGGTCGATGAGGCCAGCAACTGCAGATTAGAGACGTGAAGCTCCAGATCCAGAGACATTTGCTGAAAGAACAAACACAGGACTTCAGGGGGAAACACAGAGTTAGTGACATGTAATGGTGGTTATAACTGGTTCTGGTTCACTTCTTGCCTCTCTGGCGCAGTGGTGGATCTACCGTGCGGGCACGGGGGGGCACTGGCCCCCCCTGTGATCTGATTGGCTACCCCATGTGCCCCCCCCCCAATTAAAAAATTTGTTTGAAATTGATATTACCAATACAGAATCTCCGAATTATGACGCTCTTGAACGCAACGTCGTTGTCCGACTGCCACTGAATGCACCAAAGACGTAAGGTGCTTTTGATTGGGTACTTGGATTAAGTTTGGATTGAGAGGACGTTTGCGAACGTCGGTTGATGTCCAAGAAAAGACGAGAAGGAGTGGCATAAATACATATGTTTCACAGAGAATGAAATGGAGAGGAGACATTCAAAACTTTTTTTTATTAAAAGGAAGTCAGTAGCAGATCAGAACACTGAGAGCAGGGACACTGCAGGTCAGACTGACAGCACTGACAGCTCAGAGTCCGGAGAGGGCCAGGGTCAGCCTGAATGCAGCCAGGGACCATCATCATGTGTTGTTGAGGCAAGCATCCAGGGCCAGAGCAGTAACCATCACCCTCCAGGTGAAAATGCAGATATGAAAAGAGTGTTGCACGTGTATTTTTTACCAAACAACAGAATTTATTTGTTATTCTGTCATAATTGGGTGAATTAAATGACTGAAAACTAATTGTTTCTATGACTAACCTGATGGCATTAATTTCTGTGTTGTTTTTAATTATGTCATTTACAATATGGCAAGACATTTAACAAATTGCAATTCTTTTAATTCTTTATGATCACTTGTCAGAAGAATCAGAAGGTAGCAGCACCAGCAGACATGTACAGCAAGATCAAACTTATTATTTACCTTCTTAATGCAACTATAGGGTCTGTTTCTGTCATCAGAGTCAACTTTAAAGTGCTGTTTTTGGTCAATTTAGGCAGAGCTAAGCTTCTCACTTTGTTGTTTTTGTGAGCAGACGCTGTAGACGAACATACACTGTCATGAGATCATATAGGCCAGTATCATCTCCTAATAACTTGATGTTTGTCCTTGAACAATTTTGTCCGAATAAACTGTCACTTGGCTCTTCCTGCTTTTGTTCGCTTCGGTCCTCTTGCTTTTACAAATCAGTTGATCCAACGCAGAGTTTGCTGCCAGGATTTGGTTCACTTGCATATTCACAACAAAATATTTTTTATTACTATATTTATTATTATTATTATTATTATTAATAATAATAATAATAATAATAATAATAATGATAATGATAATGCTAATTATTATATATTATAACAAATTGTGATATATATATAAAAAATAGTTGATTTTTATAATATTTAAATTTATTACAGTTTTCTGTGCCCCCCCCCCCCAAAATATCTGTTGTACCCCCCGTGCCCCCCCACTGAAAATATCCTGGATCCGCCCCTGCTCTGGCGGCACTCACTTTATCCAACTCAGGTCCTTTAAATCCACCCCCTCCTCCGTGACTTCAGAACCCCCAGGGTTCTGTCCTGGGGCCCCTCCTCTTCATCATCTACCTTCTTCCCCTTGCCAATATCTGCCTTAAGTTTGACATTCATTTCCACTGTTACACTGATGACACCTCACCACTAAACCCTCGTCCACTCTTCCGCCCACCTCCCTCACTGATTGCATCTCTGAAACAAAAACCTGATTCACCCTAAACTTCCTTGAATTAAACACTAGCAAAACAGAGGTTCTCCTCATTGGCACCAGTCCACCTAATCCAAAACCAACAGCTTTTCTCTCACAATTGATAATTCCACTGTCTCACCTTCTCCCCAGGTTAAGAGTCTGGGTGCCATCTTTGACAGCATATTATCCTTCCAATCCCACATCAATAACATTACCAAGTCTGCCTACTTTCACCTACGTAACATCAATCGCCTCCGCCCCTCCCTCGTCACTTCCCGTCTGGATTACTGTAATTCTCTCATCTTTGGTCTCTCTCACAAATCCCTCCATAAACTTCAACTGGTCCAGAATTCAGCTGCCCACATAATAACCCGAATCCCCTCGATCCACCACATCACTCCTGTCCTCCAGCAGCTCCACTGGCTTCCGGTTCAGTTCCGCATCCAATTCAAAATCCTCCTGTTACCATTTAAGGCCATTCACAACCTTGCGCCTAGAAGATATTTGCTATTAGAAGATCATAGGCCTATAGTTTGCTAAAACGCCTGGATCTAGAGTAGGCTTTTTGAGTAGTGGTTTTTATTACAGCTACTTTTTACAAGCTAGATGAAACTGTTCTGAATTTGTACAGCACTACTGTCTTTCCAGTCTTCTTCAATTCTGCTTTAAGATGCACTGCTGTTGACTATACCATGGAGCTATTTTATCATATTTATTGCTTTCTTTTTCAGAGGGTCAACAGTGTCGAGTGATGTACACAGTAAAGCTGCAGTTCTATCAATGAGATTATCCACCTGTGTAGGACTAACATTGGAGGAGTTGCTCTTTACTGTGATGACATATGACTTTGAAGAGAATAATATTGGAAGTATTTCCTTACATTTAGTTATTGCTTCGTCAGATAAACATCTGCTGTAATGGAACTTCTTGGTAGATGCTCTGTAGTCCTATTTTAGTAGTTTCTGTAGTTGATTTTAAGGTACTTTTATTAGTTTTTAAGTGTCTTAAGGGTCTTGGGCCATCTTATTTATCTGACTTGCTTTTATCATATCAACCCTCGCGGATCCTGAGGTCCTCTGGCACCGGCCTTTTAACTATTCCAAGAGCTAAAACAAAAACCCACGGGGAGGCTGCATTCAGCCATTATGGTCCCCAGCGATGGAATAGCCTGCCAGAGGACATCAGGACCGCAGAGACTGTTGATGTTTTCAAAAGAAGGCTCAAGACATACCTTTTTAGTTTAGCTTTTAACTGATTTGTTTACTTTCTTAATTTAGGCCTGGCTTTTAACTCTTTTATTCCAATGTCTTTTAGTTTTTAGCTCATTTTATTGTAATGTCTTTTAGTTTTTAGTTCATTTTATTCTAATGTCTTTTAGCTTTTAGTTCTATATTATTTTTAGCTCCAGTGTTTCCTCATGGGGGGCCTCCACACTGGGAGGTGTGGCTGGTCTGCCCACGGGGGGGTCATCCTGGAGACCCCTCAGGCCCGGAGGACTGTGTGGAGTCCAACCACCCCAGTCCTTCTGGGCCGGGGGTCTCTGTGGCGGTGACCCTCCTCGTGGCTGTGGACTGTGATCCCTCTCAGTGTGGATGAGCTCCCCATAGGTTGCTTTTCCTCACATGGTTCCTCAGTGCCCTGCCATGCTCTTTTTTTATAGTATATATTGTCATTATTATAGTGTATGTGGTTCTGTGGGTGATTGTGTGTGCGTGGGGGCAAGTACGTGGTTTTATATGTGCGTGTTTTGTTTTTGTTTGTTTTATGTTTTTAAATTGGAAAGCACTTTGAGCTACATCTTGGTATGAAAAGTGCTCTATAAATAAAGATATTATTATTATTAGTCCATCATTCAAATGTTATTAAAAATGATCAGATAAAAGAGGGTTTTGGGGAAAAACAGTGAGATGTTCAGTTTCTGTGTCATGTAAAAAAAAACAGATCAAGGCTGTGGCTAAAACAGTGAGTTGGTTTATTTACATTTTGAGAAGAACCAACTCCCAAAAATGAACTAAACCCAGAGTTGAGGCTGTCGTTCTCATCATCTACATGGATATTGGTACTTCTAAAAGTCCTTGGCCTTAGAAACAAGGGGCATAACTCTCATGTTGGGGGATAACTGTATACTATAAACTCTTATATCACTGTCCACAAAAACTCTAATATTTTTAAGCAATCAAAGAAAAAAGGAGATTAAACTTGGAGCTGGCTGCTGTTGTTCCAGGACAATGCATCCGTCCACACAACATCAGGTGGCAGAAACAGCCAAAACTGTGTATTGTCAGCAGTAAAAATAAAATCCATAGTTAACATATTACCAGGGCGGCTGTGCCTCAGGTGGTGGAGCGGTTGTCCTCTAATTGCAGCACCTTGCATGGCAGCTCTTTCACCATTGGTGTATGAATGTGTGTGTGAATGGATGAATGAGAACACATTGTAAAGCGCTTTGAGTACTACTAAGGTAGAAAAGCACTCAGTCCATAAGACCATTTACTATTTACCAAGAGGGAGACAGTAAATGATGCCCCCAACACTAAACCTCGTGACACCATGGCGGACTGTGGAGCTGTCCAACTGGAGACTGGAGTGAACAACTAGTTTTCAAAAAAAGATGGGATTAGTGCTCCAGTACAGTCCCTGTTGTGGCTTAAAATTGGTTTGCTTGTTACATCTGTAATGAAGGAGGGAGTTTATCAGGGAAAGGGTTCGGATTGGTCAGTGCTGTCTTCAAAACACTGACTGAGCCTTGGTGGAGAAGTGATGGGACCATGCTTGTCTGCTTTCCAGTTGCCATGATTGAGGGCCTTTGAAGCAAGGCATTTTAAAACACTACTCCCTTGTTGCTGCTATGTCAACAGTATGTCAGCCAAAATGTCTGCTCACAGCCTCACTGTGTGAAGCTGTCAGCTCTGTCCTTTACCTCACTTTGTTTTGGTAAAGATTATCTTAGATTGTGGATTAGCTGGAAACATGATCCTTTAAATCCTCTAAAGCATTCTGCTGTTAATCAGTGCATCTACAATGTTCACATCAGGGCTGTATGGATTTTGGATATATCTACATTCATGAATATAATTTCTTCATTCTTACTTTTTTTTTTAACATGTTTTCTTCACATCAACAGGTTCACGAAACTGGCGCCCATGTTTCTTGATCCAAACTACAAGCGATTCTCGAGGATTGGTGATTATTCGCCTCCATTTGGAGTAAAATCACAAGGTATGAGTCCACATTCTTGTTTCGGTTTGAGGCAGTGCTACATCAAGGGAGCGCTGCACTTCTCACCAGTTAAGACTAGATTGTTCTGACCTCTGTTTCGGAACATACCATAGCACTGTGGAGGCCTCAGTATGCTTTAAACAGACTAAACTGTCTGAATGTCTAAAGACAAAAGTTGTTCTTGATGTCCACAGTTGAATACAGGGTGTAAAACCGGCTATTGTGGTATCCTCATGGCTGAATCACACTGCTTTCTTAAACTCTATATCAACACCATCTTTCTTGTTTCATTGTAGTCTTGACACTGTGAATCATATAAATTTGGATAACGGAGCATCCTGTAGAACTCTTCAAAGCATTAACTGTTCATGAGAAGTGACAGAATGAATTGTGTAAAGAATGAAAAAAAGAGCTTTTATCTTTGCCTGGCTAACTATCGTTTGACTCCAGCTCTGTACTTAGACATGAGATTAATAAAATAAATAGGTAAACAAAACAAATAAATCTAACTCATTAGAACATGGATGTATTTATGTAGCTGAACCTCTTCACCCTGCTATGTACTGAGTCTCAGCAACATGAATTAGAAGCTGCTCTAAATCAGAGTCCACAGTCAAGCATGTTTTACATCACCATGGGCTTAGAGGCCACTGTGCAAAAAAGGAAACCCTTGCTCCCGAGGTGGCACCCCTAAGGTCAATTCAATCCTTATCCACATAGGTAAGGGTACTTTGGCTGGTCCAAATAGCAATTTCTGATCTCCGGACATTCGGTCCCAATTAATGACAAATATCCCGAATATTCGGGGGTGCCTCGCGGTGGTGGCGGCTGACTTTGTTTGTGGAAACCATGAATTGGCTTTAAGGCCAGAGTTTGCTGCTGAAAAAGAAAAGGCCTTCTAGAGAAAAAGTCTGTGTTCAGATGAAACAAAAAATTTGCTATTTGGTCACAATGAGCAGAAATATGTTTGGATGACAGAAGTTGAGACCTTTAACCCCAAGAACAACATACTGACTGTCAAGCATGGTGGCAGTAGTATCATGTTCTGGGGCTGCTTTGCTGCCAGTGGAACTGGAGCTTTACACAAGGTAAAGGAAATGATGAATAAGGAGGATTACCTCCACATTCTTCAGGAAAACCTGAAATCACCACTGGGAAGGTTTGGTCTTTGATGCAGTTGGGTGTTACAGCAAGACAATGACAATAAACACACGTGAAAAATGGTAAAGAAATTGTGTAACTCAAGCTATAATACGAGCAGGGTACGAGCAGGAAGCTGTTACCTTTTACTGAAGTCTCTGTCATGGTGGTCGATTGCTAGCTAGATGCCCACAATGTTCTCAGAACAAAACACCTAACGCCACCTCCCCCCATCCATCCACAACAGTCATGGTTCAAATGCAACGAAACTAAAATTGCAGTCACAAGTCTATTCATTTAACAGTTTGGATTTTAACATTAACATTCCCATAGTTCTTTGCATTTGCCAACATGAAATTGCCCATAGTCCAACACTAAGGTAACACTGACCCTAACTGCCTTCTCAGGTTGTCATGGTATTAAACACAGCAAACGAGTCTTTTGTCTTCTTAAACAGTATGAGCTCTATCTGTTGGCACAACCAGATACAACAGCTGATTTACAATACATTCTCTGACATGCATGTCTTTCATCAAATATTATGTATTTTAATTGGTTAACCCAGTAACTGCAGTTCATTGATAGTATGCCATCCCTAGTCCATACACAAAAGTCACTTTTGCTTGAGGAGAAGGTACTGTAGTAAAACACAGTTTGTTTAGATTGTCTTAATACTATGTAGTCCATACAGTGTTCTGTAAAATGTCATTCAGGCATATTTCTAAAGTAATATTTTTTCTCATTCTCTCTTTTTACATATAAGTCATTACTTCCCTGTTCATGACCTTTTCATTTGATATGGAATCGCGTAGCTCTTTGCACGTTTTTTTTTTCCATAGGAGCTCTATAGATAATTCATTGATCATCCTTCGTGTGTTTAATAATGATGACTAAGACATCATTGCAATGATGTTTACTGGTACATGTGATGAAGTACACTACTCACAATAAGTTAGGGATATTGTGAGAGACTCAGTGGATTTCATACATACAGTCTTTGTTTCACTTCAGAGATTTCTGGGACAGGGAGGCTATTGTATTGGGGTGGTAGACACACCTCATTTTGTGTTTTCCATGTAATGGTCTCACTCTGTACAGTGTGCCTTACATATTGGGGCCAATACCAAAAAACAACCCTTTTCAATGTGGCACCAATTTCAACATTCTGTGGGTATAAAAAGCTGATATTGTCAGTAAGTCATTTCAAGTTCATCTTTCAAAAAGACATGAACACACGACGTCACTTAACGGACGAGCAGGCCATAGCACACCTTCGAGTCGGTGGCAGGCTGGCTGATGTTGCTCATGAACTTGGTGTGTCTCAAAGTGTCATCGGCAGACTTGCATCAAGACACAGAACTACTGGTACAGTTCGTGACAGACCCAGGAGTGGGGCCCCAAGACCGACCGCAACGATAACAATAATAATAATAGATTAGATTTATATAGCGCTTTTTCTGGACACTCAAAGTCGCTTTACACTGTCAATTATTCATTCACACACATTCATTCTGGTGGTGGTAGCTACGATTGTAGCCACAGCTGCCCTGGGGCAGACTGACAGAGGCGTGGCTGCCATTCTGCGCCTACGGCCCCTCCGACCACCACCTCAAACAATCCATTCATACGCATTCACACCAGGCGGGTGGGTGAAGTGTCTTGCCTAAGGACACAACGACCATGAAACAGGTTACAGGGCGGAATCGAACCTTCGACCTTCCGATCATTGACCGACTCGCTCTACCACCTGAGCCACAGCCGCCCAATACGATGACCAGTACTTCAGGACCTATGCACTCAGACATCGCTATGCAAGTGCCACAGAGCTGCAGGCCCGTTTACGAGATGTGAGGGGTACTAGGGTTTGCAGACAAACCATTCGCAACCGACTCCACCACTTTGGCTTGAATGCCAGACGACCGTTGCAGGTGACTCCACTGACACCAAGACACCGCCGTGAACATTTGTAGTGGGCACAAGACCATGTGATCTGGACAATGCAGCAGTGGTCCACCGTCCTGTTCACTGATGAGTGTCGAGTCACCTTGCACAGAAATGACGGTCGTCAGCGTTGCTGGAGAAGGCGAGGTGAGCGATATGCCGAGGCTAACATGGTCCCCAGAGTTTGCTTCGCTGGAGGAGTTGCAACAGTCCGGGCAGGCATCACCAGCCAGCGCAAAACAGATTAGATTTTTGTAGATGGCTCAGTCACTGCACGTTCCTACCTCAGAGACATCATAGAACCCATCATCATCCCCCAATTCTGCCAGCACACCCCCAACTTTCTGTTCATGGATGACAATGCTTCACCACATCGTGCCAGAATTGTCACAACTCGACTTTAGGAAATCGGAGTGCCTCATATGGTATGGCCAGCAATGTCCCCTGACCTGAACCCCATAGAGCACGTCTGGGACCAGCTGAAGCAGAGACTGGATGACCGTACTCCACCCCTACGTGACCTGGCAGAACTGCGTGTAGCACTTGTGGAAGAGTGCAACACATTGTCTCAGAACAACATCATGAGGCTAGTGAGGAGCATGAGACGTCGTTGTCAAGCTGTCATTGCTGCAAATGGTGGAAACACCCGCTACTGACATTGTCAATTTTTGTTATTTGGGGCTATCCTTGTTATTGTTTAAATTTGGGGGGTAATAAATATTAAACTAATGAAAATGGTGTTTCTTCTCATTCATTATTAGTAATATCAAAGGGAACTTTTACTTATTTCATTAAAATTCAGAGCAAATAGGAAAAGCACTCATGTAAATAACAATGTCCCTAACTTATTGTGAGTAATGTAGTGGCACATGGGCTATAAACAGTCTCAAGCATGAACAACAGTTACATGTAAGAACATTTCTAAATCCATTTAAGGATGATTGTGCAAGTGGCAATGAAGGCTGTGCATGTTCACTTGTTTCCATAGTGGCTGGGATTTATAAAATAGTCAGGTGTACATGCAGCTTTAATAATCTGACAAACAAATCAGTTCTTCTCGTTATACCCAGTGGTACACAGCTATAAAAAAATGTTCATATAGTGTATCCTCCAAAATGTAAACAACTACAAAATGGAACTCATGTTGCAGCTCAGTGCCACTCAATTCAGTTCAATTCAGTTTTATTTGTATAGCACCGTTGACAACATATGTCATCACATAGTGCTTATGTAACCTATGCGTAGGTGCCTACTAGCAAGGTAGTTACTTTTACCGTTAATACTAGTAATACCAGCTTATGAGGGATGTTGGCCAGATCAGAAGACCCTGGATTCGTGGGAGCCCAGATGTAAATGACAGAGGAAAATACACACGGCTTGTAGAAAAGACACAGATTTCACTGTTTGAGTTATGAGTGGATCCACGTTGCATGTAAAAACAATAAACAAAACTGCGCACTCTTTTAAAAAACAATAAAATAAAAATAACCCAGTCTTGAGTAGCCCTTTTAGTCCTTTCAATTTGTCTGATAAATGTTCATTCAATGTCTTGTTTGTCGTGATCAATCGGGTCGCTATCTACCAGTGGGTTCGGTTCCTTGGGTTGAGGCTCGCCATCCAGTACTGGAAATGCTGATCCTTTTCGTCTCTGCAGCTCTATGAGTCGGAGAGTGCATCCACAGACACATTCTCAAGGAAAAAAAAACCTCACCTATAACAAGGCCAGAATAAAGTAGCTTAAAATACAATAAACTAATATCTATTGCCTAAAGCTACAAGTCATAATGGTTCCACATTCATTTGTCAAACATATCATGTTGTACAACAATATAGTTCAAGTAATCACAGTTTCATATCACCAACACATTAATAAACCCAAAAGAATTAGCTTACATGTGGTAATATAAAATTATAATGTCAATGTTTTGCAATGCTAATGAAATAAGCATTCTCAACATAGTAGCTTTGCATTAGGATGTGGACTGGAAATACACATTAGCTTTAGCTTAATAAAAGTACTAGTAAAGTGCTAATAAAAGGCACTTGACATTCAAACCAGCACTACTAACTATATTAGCACAATTTAAATTCTAAAACATGTGCTACTATCACAATAACTGCAAATACCATTGAAAATATCACATACACAACAATATTTAAATACGACTATACAAGCACTATTTTATTTTTACTGTATTCTATCGATGACTAATGGTTTTAGCCACTTTTAATGCATTTTTAGTCAAAAAATGCTGACGCTAGGTAGTATCGCGGCTAGCGCTCGCATACTAACAGAGCACATGATTTTACTCACCAATGCCAAACGAGGCTCGAACGGAGATTTCCAGACTCCAATCTGCTCACAGCAACGCTCTCTAAAGTTTAATGAACAATGAATTACTATTTTTGAACGATATAACACACAGAGTGGGTTTAGGTTTGGTTTCTCTTACCGATTTCCGAGTTTCTCAAGCTAGTTAGCTAATTTTCTAGTTGAGCAACAGGCAACCTTGCTCTCTGTCACGCTGTCTGATGCGATCTGAGCAGCGCTCCCTCACAGTGCAGTGAGTGGGGCGGGACAATTAACCTTATAGATTAATGTCAAATCGGACCATAATAGCAATTGGATGCTTAGTCCGTCCCCAAAATACATACAAAAGGTTTATTTCACAGTTTTTTAAAGATTCCTATCACTATTTATCTATATTTATGAACATACTCATGAACATATTTTTAACTCTAACTTATTAATTTATGATCTCATTGTGGAGTAAAATATGAAATCAATATTTACAAGTTTTTACTTATGTTTTTAGCACTGGGCTACACTTAACAAAGTACAAATTTAAACAGAGAACCCAAAAATTCAAAGTAGCCTTTGGACTCCCTCTGAGCCTCCCCCAACCCTTTTGCTCTCATCAGGCAGAGAGTGCATTTAAAAAATGTTTTGTTTCTTCACAGTTTCCCCTGTGTAAAGTGTTTCACTGCATATATCACTACCTGGAGGGAGCAAGTGGAATGTGTATGGGCTCTTATCCCACCATCTTTACCAGTTGTATAACACTATCACCTGACATGACAGCCCTCCCACACATTGGCTCATTGACCTGCCTTATTTTTCACAGCTTGTCAAGTTGTGCTGGAGATGAGGGCATCCTAGCTGGGTCAAATGTGATAGAAAGAATTCTTCCATCTTTATCTCACTTGTTGTTTTTCCTTTTTGCCTCTTTATCTCTCAAATATCTGCAGAGAAGATCATAGATATTCTTCTGTCAGCTACAACGATGTATGGCCTTGGAGAAGAACTTGACAGGTAAAAGTTGCATAGCTTCTGTAATGCTCTGCAGCACCGTTTGCAGTCATCACAGCATCCCTGTCCTTAGTTTTCTTTCAGTTCTGTATTTAAAGCTACTATTTCCAGTTACTTTATACGTAGTCCATGAATTAGTTATCAGACTTTTAAGTCACTATAAATGTAAGATATAGAAAACGGCATTACCATTGTTGTTTAAGGATAGGTTTTGGATATTAAAGATGAATAAAAGAGTTTACATGAAAAATTCACATGACTACAAAATGATTACAGAACATATAGTAATGTAGCAGTCTTAAAACACTCTGTATAATATTTAATACCAAGTGTCTGTGGCTAAATGCTAAGTCTGTCCATCTAAACAGAAACTTCAATGATAATGACTAGATTTCAGGTCAATTATCAGGATAACCATGTGTTTGTATGTTTGATTATACTTTGGCTTGAAGTTTTGGTCTTTATATGGACCTCTGAAGTAGTTGCATAAATGATCCTGATAAATCAGCCAGCTCAGAAAATTGGGAATGTGTTTATTTTTCCATTTAGATGTAAGCAGTCCAGACTAAAGATGTGACACATTGTACTGACTCCCCACTACAGCGTTGTAATCATATTAACTGAAGTTGTGATGCATTGACTTTTGTTGTCACTGCTCTTCTTCTGCACTTGTCTTGAGTCTAAGTACTAAGTAAAGAAGTTTATACTTAACTGCAGCAGTACTTGTTCTCTGTAGTTATACTTTTATAGATTAGCATCCATAAGATTGGAATGAAGGAAAAAAAAGAAACAACAAAAATAAGAGACACAGCCACTTGTTTTTCCAGAGTGATTGTGTGTTAAATAGGTCTGTATCTGGGCGGTCCATTAGGTAGTAGGTCCAATTACTGGCAGGAAATAAAGAAATAAATCATAATGCATTTTTTTGTGTTCCAGTAAGAGCTGCAAGACATGCATCATTGTTGGAAATGGAGGAATCCTTGCCAATAAGTCTCTAGGACAAAAGATTGATGAGTTTGATGTTGTTGTCAGGTACGTTTTGACACATTACAATACAACACAGACTTTACATATTTCCTGCCACTTTGTTACCTCAGTAATAATTTTCCAAATTGATATGGTAGTATCACACAAGATATTACCACCACTATAAGTTTGTATTTTTTAAAAGGGTTTGCTTGAACAATGACTCAGTAGTCATCTGGACTGCCTCTAACATCCATCAGAACTACTTTTTGGTAACATTGTCTTGGTGAATTACTCACAGCCAAACACTTGACTGTCCATGACCGTAAGGGCAAATCATGATGCTGAAATCAAACTACATTCATCAGACAGTGACATCTGTTACATGTGAAAAAGAATACACATGGTGACCACTGCAGTTTCCAGTACAGTTGTTATACAGCAGGCTTGAAGGTTTTTCTCTTTTTTTATTCAGGGCTTTTTCATTCATGGATGTTGCAGTCCATAAAGTTTTATGTGTAATGTTAACACTGGACAGAATTTGGTGAAAATATTTTTGTCTCTCCTTGGTGGCTGATAATTTTGACCTTATCTGTAGCTTGGCCTTTATTTATGTATATTTATATTCTATTGTCAGATTGTTATATTTCCATAAGCTGTGATAGAACTCCTGTAATGTGCACTACCTGTCCGTGGATCAGTTCAGCTGCTTTCCACTGTACTCGTGCTTTTGTTTTTTTGTTTGTTTACCATTTTTTAGTATTTGATTGAAATCTTTAAGATCTTTAAGAGAGACTCTGCCAAGAGGGCACTATGAAGACATGTACTATAGACTATAGACTATTTACACCAGCTTGCCTGTCACTTACTACAAAAGCACAGTAGGACTCTTTGCAATCTCGTGTTGCAGGTTAAATGAGGCCCCAGTGAAAGGTTTTGAGAAAGATGTCGGCTCCAAGACCACCATGAGGATCACCTATCCTGAGGGGGCCATCCAGAAGACAGAACGTTATGAGACTGAGTCTCTGTTTGTCCTTTCTGCCTTTAAAGCTCTGGATTTCAAGTGGCTCCGACACATGGTCTTCAATCAGCGACTGGTAAAACAAATGGCAACAGTGTGTTTTGATATTACATAACCTGCATGCAGCTGTAGCCAGATATTTTGCTATGAGGGTCACTTACTTACTCATTACTTGGCTTGCAAGCTGTGAAAATGCTTCCATCCACTTATTGTTATCATGTATTTGTTTTATGCCTTGAAAAACAGAATGAAAATTCATAAATACCCTAAAAAATATTGAAAAGTCAGTAACAGGAGTTGTGATCAAGGTTAGAACTGATTTTGTAGCCATTCTGTGGCTGTGAGCTGCTGCTGACATTGTTAAATTGTACAGGACTGGTGTTGGTTGTCCCAGTGGGTTCCCAAAGGATTTGGTGACAGTTTCTTATTGTAGTGCCGTGTGGTCACTGTTATTTGCAGCTAGCACTGATGTTCTTTCAGAGACAAAAGTGGAAGCGCATATTTCCATATCTCAATTTTTTTTTTCAAATAAGTCCTGAAATAAATAAATAGATCTGAGGATAAATATGTATATAATCATTAAATCAATTTAATTCAATTCAATTTTATTTATACAGAGCAGTTTACAACATATGCCATCTCACAGCGCTTAACACACACTGAACAAAAACATAAACGCAACACTTGATTTTGCTCACATTGTTCATGAGCTGAACACACACACACACACACACACACACACACACACACACACACACACACACAGACAACTGAATTAAATAACATTTATTCATTTTTTCATTCCACGACTCTTTTATTCTCTCATTTCACATTTATTTATACAGTTTTATTTTATGTCACATTTACTTTTCTCTGGGGACTTATATTTCCTAAAACCAAATTTATTTTTTTCAGCGGACCTTAAATTCCTAACTACACTTTTTATTTCCAATCCTAATATCCTAATGAGGGTACGGGGCTGGCGTGATTGGCATGGCTGGTCTAGAACGATTGACAGGCTGATTGAATGAGGCAGCCAGGAGGCTCATTCACTGGTAAACTCCAGATGCAAACATATTTTTTTGATTATTTGTCAGTGGAATAACAGTACATTTTCTTTGGACAGTTTTGTCGTTCATTATTAATCGTTTTTCAATTCACCATTATTATGATTTGTTTGTTGCATCTTCGGATAATTGTACCACAGACTCTTGAGGGATTTGGATGTCTGATTCAGTAAGTAAATTTTTTTTCTTAATATTTTTCAATTTGAATGTACACTGTATGAAGTTTTAGCTCCAAACATAGTATGTACGATGTGTCGTCAACGTTGGTGGGTTTTTCCTGCGTGTTTTTACCGGAGAAGATGTGACAATAACATCCGAGTTAATATCACAGTTAAAGTGGATTACCAATACACCGGGCTAACCAAACTAGCTGATCAGTTAAAGTCTGATAAACAGTTAAGTGTAGCAATGTTAAGCTATTGATGTGTGTGTTGTGTTTCTGGCATATATGACCAAGCTAGGGTCTACTGTGTTAGTGTGGCAGATAAATAGTAGACAAAAGTTATTTTTGATGTTTCCTGTTTAAATGGTCCAAATCTGGAATAGTGGTTATGATATTATGATGTCAAGTGTTGTTTGTCCTGTATTACTGTTGATGTACTGTCATGCTGAGTGTTTGATAGAACATCTGTCTCTATGCGTGGCTGGATATGAAATGAAACAGCTCTTGTCTTTCCTAAAGTACATGGAAAATCTAAAATCTAAAATATCTAGTCAGTATGTTTCTGTGAGATGAATCTTGATTGTTCATGCTGATACTGTGATGTCTTTCTTTAACTTAGGTTTGTCTGATATTTAACGTGAGGACCTTCTGCCTGAGCAGAGGACTGTCTCAAGAAGAGTCATGAGTGGTGTCAGCATTAGGAAGACCTCATATGGTGCCGTCATCTGGCTGTGAAGAAGGAAGACTGCATGGACAACACTGTTTGTTCTAAAATGGGTTGTGATGATGATGATGCCAGAAAACCATCTCCAGTTCAGCTTCCTCTGATGAAAGGACATATCAGCTTTTTAACACAGTTTAATTCTCTGTTCTTAGTATTCAACAGTTCCATTTCTTGCTTTTGACTCATTTGTGCCGTTAGAAATGTGATGATAGGAACAGTTTGACAAAAACATTTTCAAAATACTCTAGATACGCTAGATTAAGTGATGGATCAGGTCTAGTCACCACTTTCACAGGTGAACATGTTCCCCAATTTGACATCAGAAGGCTGTTCAGAAGGAAACCGCTGGGGACAACCCACCCAGAAATGCACCCATAAACCCAATGTAACTCCTGTAATAGATGTGTACTACGGTTACTGCTCGGGAATATTCGTTACACATACAACTCACAAATGTGTGCTGAACAACTGACAGGTTTAACCAATTGAGTCCATACATAAGAAAAGCACATAGTCTATTATCTAGTTTTTGTATCTAGTTTTTGTTTATTGCTAGTGTTCAATGTTCAGCAAACATTTCTCCTAATTATGTTGTTTACTAAAGCTGCCAGTATGGCTGCATTCAGACAAACCCCACAGTGCCAGAGACAGTGCTACCAACATTCATCAGTAACTGTACAGTGTGGGCTAGCATTAGTTTAGTAAAACAAGCTAATTTCTATCTGCTGATGTGGTGTTCATGAATAAATGGCACTTTGAGATGGCAAAAATATAGCTTCATTATGATTATCAAACTGTAACCTACAGTAAACCTAGTTACAGCTAACAGCTAATTAGCAACATTGAAATATTTTTCTCAGTTTGGTGAAGCACCCAATCTTTGATTTGAAGAACAAAATTCAAAAACTTGTTAGAACATACTTTACTACAAGTGGTTTTGCACAGTTTAATGTCACCACACACTAACTTCAGGTCCAGTTACGTATGTTACTCCCTTTACATTGAATTATCAAAATCTTGTTATCCACATTCAATTTCACTTCCTCTGACAATGACACAAGTCACACTAAACTCACATCAAGACAAGGAAAGACAATTATTCTACCATCTTCAACTTAGCCATTCTTTATGTGTACTCATTTAACAGAACTGGCAAATAGTGGCATCAATAAGCTCTTTAGAATTAGTTACACAGTCCTCTCTGCTCAAACCTGTTATTTTGCTAGTTTAGGTGTCAAAATAGAAATTTAACCATTTCTGATGTCCATATATTCAAATTTAGTCTGATTTTGATATATCTGTAAATGATGCACGAGTAATTAGACTACTTTGAAATCATATAAACTAAAAATGATCTGAAAGTGTAACTCTGTGGGGGACATCAGCATTGCCACAGTAATCTGGCCTGAGTGTTTGACTTGTCGAATATCAATTAGATTGTGTAATAATTGTCCAGAAGCATTCAAAACCCATTTGAACATACATTTTCCCAACAGTATTCTGAAATTGAAGTGACACTATGAAATATAGGCCCTCTGAAATAAATAAATGTGAAAGAAAGCAAAAATGGAAATGAATGCAGCTTATTTAAATTTATCATCCAGCTTGAGTTCATAACACAACATTTCTTGTACTAAACCCAAGAGCTGTGTAGAAACCAGTGTGGTTTGAACAACACGGTTCCCTTCCAGACCTTTGTCCAGTCTTTTACTCAGCCTGTCACTGAAGCACCAGAAGGGAAAGTTTGTCAGTGGGCAGCTTTGATGTTCTGATGGCGAGGCCACAGTCTGGAGGCCTGAATGGCACAAGTACACCCAGTGTAGTAGGGCTGTGTTTAATCCACAGCATTGCAGTTGGTGGTGTATTTTGTGTCTGTGTGTGGGGGCAGATTATAAAAACAGAAAATAAAAAAATACAGTCTTGGACATTGAAATGTCTCAGAGAGCTTAACTATGTAACAGATGCTATCTTGTCTGATGATGATAATGATGATAATGATGATGATGATGATGATGATGACAGTCCTGTAGTGGTGAATTCTTTGGGGATCACAGCTCTCAAAGTTAAATCTGCAGAACCCTTGGCTTGCCCTCTCGATTGCAGATGTACCTTAACACATACCATTACCTAGTTTGTGTATTCAGTGTCACTTCGCATCACTATTCATCATGTCAGATACAGTAGCTGGAATATTTGATGCATTTTGGCAGGTGGTAATTTTACTTAGTCTAATGTTTTCCTTTTCTTTTAATTTTTTTTGACAGTTTTGTCTTAAAACTTGCTTTAAATGGGAGTATGGTGCCAAATTTTATTGGATGAATGACTGGGTAGGACAAGGTAGGACAACTGGTAAACCAGCAGCATGGTCATAGAAGCCTAGGGCTCCTTGATGTGCGTTGGGAGTGAAGGCTGGACCATGTGGTGTGACCCCACAGAAGGGTTGCTGTAGCACAGACTGCTGAAAACCCTAATGCTGCGATGGTAGAAAGGTGTCAGAATACACAGTGCATTACAGGATGCTGCGCAGGCTCTGTCCACCACTCAAAGCTCCTGCAACGGGCAGGTGAACATCAGACCTGGACCATGGAGCAATGAAGGAATATAATCTGGTCTAACAAGGGACACCTTAAGAGATCTCATGGAGTCCAGGCTTCGACAGGTCAGAGCTTCTTTGCCAACGTGAGGGGGGCCTACATCGTATTAGACAGGTGGTTAAATACCTTGGCTGATCATTGTATAATACGCACTATGTCTGTTCAGATACATTAATAGCACCTAAAGGAGTCTTGTGTATTACCTGAAAGACTCATATTTTAAAGCTGGGCTATGCAGTATTTTTTGTGGCAGCAAGAAAAATATCTGCAGTTATATGACTGGTGGATCGGTTAGCACTGTTGCCTCGCATCGAGAAGATCTCTGGTTCGCGTCTCGGTTAGGACAAGTCTCCATGTTCTCCCTGTGCAGTGTGGGTTCTCTCCAGGTTCTCCAGCTTCCTCTCACAGTCCAAAAACATGCTGAGGTTAACTGGTGATCCTACATTGTCCATAGGTGTGAATGTGAGTGTGCTGGTTGTCTCTCTGTGTAGCCCTGTGATAGGCTGCTTACCTGTCCAGGTGAACCTG